AAACAGGAATAGAGCCTGCCATATATATATATATATATGTACACCCGAGACCCTAGACCGGGAACCTTGCGTCCTGAACCCTAAACCCTAAACCCTAAACCCACCCAACTCGCCCCTAATTGTGCGCAGGCGCCTGCACCTTGGCGTTCTCGGCCGTCGTGGGCAGGTCCTCCGTCAGTCTCGTCAGGCCCCGGAGGGGCTGCCTCCGGCCCGAGCGTGCGCTGGAAGAGAATGGGATTTTGAGAGGGTTTAGGGCTTAGGGCTTAGGGCTTAGGGTTTAGGGTTTAGGGTTTAGGGTTTAGGGTTTAGGGTTTAGGGTTTAGGGTGTAGGGTGTAGGTTTTGCAGTTTAGGGTTTAGGAATTAGGCACCTTATTCAGTTGAGGGTTGCCTTGAACCCCCTTGACACCCAGAGCCTAAACCCGAAGCCCTCTCCCCTGAACCATTCGTGTTTAGGTGTAGGGGTCAGGGCTTAGCCAAGACCTTGAACTCTTTAGATCCTGGTGTCCTGCCCTGAAACCTTGAAACACCGAAGCTCCAACAAATCCCAAACCCCGGAAAGTTCCAAACCCACCCCGAAAAGCCCCTAGACCTCAAAAGTAGCTCGAGGCTCCAGAAACCCCAAACTCCAAACCCTAAACTCCAACACATCCCCGAACCCTTTAGACCCCAAAACACTAAACCCCCAAATCCAACACAAACTCAGAAATCCACAGAAAAAATGACTTACAAAAAACCTAAACATCGAAATCTAAACAAGACACAGAAACGAAAAACATAGCACACGAGCCTTTTCCGGAGGCAGGGCTTCTCTGGCGGCTTCAGGATGCCAACAATGAACACGAGGCCGATGATCTCAGCCTCTTTTTGAGGCCCTAAACCCTAAACCCTACACCCTAAACCCTAAACCCGAAACCCTCAACCCTAAAGCCTAAAGCCTAACTCTTGCTGTTGGGGCTTCCGGAGTGGGCGGGGGTGGGTTTAGGTATTCAAGGTTTAAGAAATCAAGCCCCGGCCGTGATGTCCAGGAAGTGGTAGCTTGGAACGATCAACTCCCGCCACTCCTTCAAGGGCGAGTTCAGGGGTTCGGTATCAGTGCTCAGAAGAGTGACTTAGGGGTTTGCTTTTGAGGGCTTTAGAATCCAGGCTCTGCAGGCTTTTTGGGGGCCCTCACCTGCGGGAAGAGGAAGATCGCGGGGAGGCAGAGAATGTGGGAGGCGCTGCTGAGGACGCAGGAGAAGCACACCGCAAGGATCATCCGGTTCAGGACCCGCAAAGACCAGTCCCTCTCGCAGCTCGCGAAGCCTCTGAGGCACGAAACCCCGAACCCTGGCCCAGAGGATGCCGAAACCGGAGGTTTTAGGGCTTAGGGTTTTGGGGTTTGGGTTTAGGGTTTAGGATTTAGGTTTAGGGTTTAGGGGCTTAGGGCTCTTGGGATCTGTGGTCGGGGGTCCCTAAACCCATGATTCTCAAAAAAATGTGCCCGAGAGGCTGTCTTCGGGAACTGAAACGGTCTTCAAGGCGGTGGCCACTCGGAGGAAGGCCCGCGAGGCCACGACCAAGGTGGCGAGGACCTCAGAAAATTGCCCCCGAACAAACCCTACTGGAAGGGTTTAGGGCTTGGGGTTCAGGGTTTAGGGCTTAGGGTTGAAAAACCCGCAAGCCGAAACCCACTCTGTGGCGGTTTTGTGGGCAAGGGACGCCCACCCCAGCCAGCACGTGATACGCAGCAGACATGAGGCGGATGGCAAGTTCCGACTGTGTCTGGCCATAGATGCGCAAGAAATCTACAGAGATCCTTGGCGAAGGCTTAGGGGGCAACCCTAAACCCTAAACCCCAAAATGAACTCTTTGAGCTGTTTGCCCCACAAGCCTTGAGCCCAATCCCTGAGTTTTCTTCGCAAGGCTTGCGGCGCGTTGAGTTTAACTAGCCCCTAAACAAAACCTGGGACCTTAAACCCTAAACCCTAAACCCTAAACCCTAAACCCTAAACCCTAAACCCTAAACCCTAAACCCTAAACCCTAAACCCTAAACCCTAAACCCTAAACCCTAAACCCAAACCCCTAAACCCTAAACCCAAAAACTCGAAAACATGCCTGCCAAGCCCTGAGGCTGGATCACGAAGAAGAGCCAGCGGATCTGCCGCACCTGCCTGGCACCCAGTTCGACTCCGATTCCTCGCTCGGTGAGCTCCAACCGGGTCCTTGGAGTTTAGGGTTTGGGGTTTAGGGTTTAGGGTTTAGGGTTTAGGGTTTAGGGCTTAGGGTTTAGGGTTTAGGGTTTAGGGGTTAGGGCTGACGTTTCATGCGGTCCTACAAACACTGAACCCCAAAGCCCGAACAGCCAAACCCACCCACGACCAGAAACCCTAAACCCCAACCCCGAAACCCTGATGGGCATCACGGACCCTAAATCCTAAAGCCTAAACCCCAAACCCTACACCCTGAACCCTAAACCCTGATTCCACATCCCAAGCCGCTGGATCGAGTAGGTGAAGGTGAACTCCAGGCAGGCGCAGTTGAGGCGATGCAATGTCAGGACGACATATTGGATGTAGAGGTGCATGCAGGTCCTCTTCTAGAGAGGTTTGGGGCCTACTTTGGAGGTTCATGGTACTTACTGACCAAATTATAATTGCACTTAGCACTCAATTGTAACCATATTCGTGTAGTTGAGGGGCTTCTAAGTGGGTGATACGTACAGTTATACCTAGTTATTCAGTACCACGAACCTCCAAGCAGAGCGGCTGAGGGGCCTGAAGGCTGCTTTGGGGCTTGGGGTTGTGGGTCTGGCCCATTCAAATCGAGTGCAGAGCTACGGGAGCTTATGTGGCGTTGGAAGACCGACCTTTAGGGTTCAGGGTTTAGGGTTTAGGGTTTAGGGCTTAGGGCTTAGGGTTTAGGGCTTAGGGTTTAGGGTTTAGGGTTTAGGGTTTAGGGCTTAGGGCTTCGGGCTTAGAGGGTAGAGGGCTTACGGCTTAGGGCTTAGGGCTTAGGGCTTAGGGCTTAGGGCTTAGGGCTTAGGGCTTGGGGCTTGGGGCTTAGGGCTTACAGAACCCAGGCACCATTTGGTCAGCTCAAATGTGGCCCCCAGCAGCCAGTACGACCAACCGATCAGGAGATAGATTTGCAGCGACCAGGCCATCTCCTTACTTACTTCTCCAAGAACCAAGGGGACAAGAATGCTAAACTTTTCGATTCCTACTAAGTAAGGAAACCCAAAAAGTTAAAAGTTCAACTATTGGCTAAGTAAGTCTCCGAGGCAGGGTCGATGTCCCGCCAGAAGCACCGGAAGAACACAATCATGCAGAAGTGCGCTGCCCCCAACACCTGATAGGCGGCAAAGATGTCAGCTGCAGATAAGGAAGTAGGCGAGGGTGCAGTGCAATCATCCTCCATCGTGATCGGGAGAAGTAGCAAGGCCGCCTCGCAAGCTTTTCTGACTGTTTCGGTGTCGGGTTGAGGGTTTAGGGTTGAGGGTCTAGGGTTTAGGGTTTAGGGTTTAGGGTGTGCTCAGGGCTTCGGGTGTGGGACGGACGTTGTCGGGAAGTTTGCCCAAAATAGAGGTACCCATCTGTAGATTTGTAGCAGAATGCAGCATACTACTTTGGGGTATCTTGAGACATGCTCATGTTGCTGCTTCATGCGCTGTTGCTGCATGCCTGGAATGCCACGAAAACACACGGCAACATCCGCATCCAGATCCGTGGCGCCACAACCTCAACCACTTTCTCAGACTCCGTCGATGTTGAAGAACTTCCTTGGTTGCACTGCGTTCCCTTGCGCCACAGCAGCTCAAGGTCTCCCTGCAACCTGGAGCCTGGATTGCCCCCGAAGCCCTAAACCCTAAACCCTAAACCCCAAACCCTGAACCCTGAACCCTAAACCCTAAACCCTAAGCCCATCCAAGGTGCTGGCAGGACAGGAGCTGATGCTCCATGGGTTCGACGACGAGCAGGAGTCCAGGGCAGCTGAGTTGGCGCGCTTCATGCCCGCAGAAGACACGATCCGAACATGGCTTCGTCCCACGAATTGTGTGGGCTCCCAAAGTTGGGGTCAAACGGGCTTACGGGGTTTAGGGTTTAGGGCTTAGGGTTTAGGGTTTGGGGTTTAGGGTTTGGGGTCTGTTTGGATTCGGGGCTCAAGTCGTTAAGCAACCTGCGAAATGTGGGACTTCCTTTTGAGCAAAACACGCCATGGTGCGAGACCAACAGTTCCAGGCTGTGGCTTGAAAAGTTTGTTGCAGTTTTTGGAGAACTCTATATCGATATATACACATATATATATATATATACCTATGTATGTATGTATGCATGCATGCATGTATGTATGTATTAAACTATACAATGTTCTATATATTATATGTACTATATCATATTAGCTGATATAAAATAGTATATGTAGACACACATTTTTTTATTTTTATTTCTATTTCTATTTCTATTTCTATTTATATTTGTATCTATATTTATATTTCTATTTATATCTATATGAATATTTATATGTATATCTATATTTATATGTATATCTCTTTATATATTTATATTCGTGTTTATATTTATATTTATATTTATATTTATATGTATATTATATTTATATTATATTTTATATTTATATTCATATTTTATTATATTGTATTTATATTATTTATTTATATTTATTATATATTTTGTTTATATTATATTTATATTATTTAATTTATTTAAATTTATTTATACGTTTTTATTACTATGTATATATATATATATATATAATATATATTATTATATAATATATATATACATAAATATATCATATTATTCTTATTTTATTATTTATGTATTTATTATATCTGTATTTCTGTAAAATATAAATATAAATATAGATATAAATATAAATATAAATATACATATAAATATATATATATTAATAATAATAATAATAATAATAATAATAATAATAATAATAATAATAATAATAATAATAATAATAATAATAATAATAATAATAATAATAATAATAATAATGTTGATATTAATATATATCTGTTCAGTTTATGTTTGTGAATTCCTCGCAGTCCTTTTGTCGGCTCCGCAACACGCTTTACTCAATCCACTGTGTGAAAACTTGGGCATCGGCTGCCTGCCTTGGCTGGGCCTTGGCAGGCAGAGAACCCTAAAGGCTAAACTGTCCAGGGTTTAGGGTTTAGGGTTTAGGGTTTAGGGTTTAGGGTGTAGGGCTTAGGGTTTAGGGTGTTGGGTTTAGGGTTTTGGGTTTTGCCATCAGAACCTGGCCAAAAAAGGTGCCGAGGAAATATCTGGGTGGAGGGGGTCAGGCTTCCGAAGGTTGTTGGTTCGAGTTAACCCCAACCCTATGAGCGCCCAGAGAACCAAGAAACAAATAGCAAGGCCAAGCACTCCGCCCTTGACCCTCTGCCCTCACTTGGGGACTCCAAAACCGACCCCCAAAAGGCATAAAGCAATCACACAGCATACTCAACCCCCTAAACTCCCACTCCCTAGACTCCCTAGACTCCCCAAACTCCCTACTCCCTAGACTCCCTGGCCCCTACACCCAAGACCCCTGGATCCTCTCGACCCTTCCCAGACCCGCCAAACGCCTGTGTGCCCCTGTTCCTAGACACCCCCTAGACCCCATAGACTTTCCACTAGGCCGCCCGCCCTGTTCCTGCTTCCTCGACCCCCCTAAATCACCAGACCCTCGACCCTCTAGAATCCCTAGACCCCCCCTAGCCTAGACTCGCTGGACTCCCTAGACCCCGAACCCCAAACCCCCCCTAGACCCCGAACCCCCCCTAAACCCCTAAACCCCAAACCCTAAACCCTAAACCCTAAACCCTAAACCCTAAACCCCCCAAAATAACAACCGAGCTGCCACTTCGAGGCTTCGGAGGCCTCGGAGGCTTCGGAGGCCTCGGAGGTTTGGAGGTGGCCTCCACTAAGTGGGGTTTAGGGTTTAGGGTTTTGGGGGGTTTAGGGTCTAGGGTCTAGGGGCTAGTAGGGTTTAGGGTTTAGGGTGTAGGGCTTAGGGTTTAGGGTTTAGGGTTTAGGGTTTGGGGTTTAGGGTTTTGGGTTTTGGGGGTTTAGGGTTTAGGATCTAGGGTTGAGGGTTCAGGGCTTAGGGCTTGGGGTTTAGGGGCTTGCGAACTCTTGTTGGGGAGTGAGGCGATTTCAGGGTCTACCGAGGTGGGCACCCAGATTGCCCGCAGCATCGCAGGCATATTTCGTCGCGCCAGGTCGCGCAGCATCTCGATCCGATTCTCTGAAAATGAAAGGAAGCTCTTCGCCGCAGTGCTTTTGCAGTCGAATTTTAGAAGACTTGGAGCTCCCTGCCGCTAGGCCCAGGAACCAAACCAGCTTTGCAAACAAACCCCTTCTTGCCAAAACAAACTCGGCCATAAGGCTTAGGTCCCCTAAACCTCAAACCCCAAACCCCAAACCCCAAACCCTAAACCCTAAACCCTAAACCCTAAACCCTAGACCCTAAAAATGAAGCTGGAAGGCCTGGCAAGATCTGGCAAGGGCCACTCCTTTCCCTGCGCAGAGCCCTTTGGCTGCCCAGGAGTGCACATAAGATGATGGCCAGACTTCCTTCAAAGCAAGCCCACTACCACTAGCACGCTAGCGGTGAAACAAGAGAGGCCCAGAATGCCCGTGGCCGCGGAGGTCGTGGCCGCGGAGGTCGTGGCCGTTCCATTCGTCCCGGTCGTCGTGGTCGTCGTGGTGGTCGTGGTGGTCGACTGCCAGGGTCACGGCAGCATGCTGCTGCTGACTTTTGAAAGAATGAGATGCGCCATGCGCTTAGCAAGTCAGGCTAGCAGATATGGAGCTCGGTCCCAGGACATGTGTGCTTCACCCGAGAGAGAGCCCCTGCACCTAAAGTTTCATCGCACCATTGATGCGGCTACATAAACTAGGAGGGGCCTTCCCCATCATCTACTATTTGCTTAAGAACTCATCAAAAATATAAAAGAGAATCCCCATATTATCCTTATAAGGAAGAATATTTATTGAGGGGTTTTTGAGCAATTCGTAGTCATGAAGGGGGTAGGATGTCTAGGATCACATGCACCTGAGGGTAGGCTCGCATGCACCTGAAATGGAAGGGTCTGTACCATGCACCTTTCCTTAAGCCAACACTTGCCTGGGTCGTAGAAGTAGTCGGACACGCGTTGAGGTTCTTCGCGCTTACCCCCATGGCCGGCGTACAGATGCTCCCACAAGGAATGGTGGTGCTCATCAATGCGTCGCCCGTACAATCGCCTTGGTTTGCTCTTCCCTTTCAATTAATCAATTGTTGATGTCTTCTGATGAGATCCGGGATCGTCCGGCACCCCTTCAATCGCAGCAGGAAGTTGCCATACATTGCGAGATTCTCACTGAACTATACTCTGCAAGGCCACTCAGCGCTTCAAGGCGCTTTCATGCGGCTTTGTGCCCCAAAAAAACCCCTGAACCCTCAACCCTAAACCCTAAACCCTAAACCCTGAACCCCTAAACCCTCAACCCTCAACCCTAAACCCTAAACCCTCAACCCTAAACCCTAAACCCTCAACCCTAAACCCTGAACCCTGAACCCCTAAACCCTGAACCCTAAACCAGGAAACCAATGCAGGCCCGGCAGCTGGAGTTGTGCGCGGAGTACGTGAAGTTTCCGCCCTCGTACTCAGACCTTGGCCCGCTTCGCCCGGTGTTTAGGGTTTAGGGTTTAGGGTTTAGGGTTTAGGGTTTAGGGTTTAGGGTTTAGGGTTTAGGGTTTAGGGTTTAGGGTTTAGGGTTTAGGGTTTAGGGTTTAGGGTTTAGGGTTTAGGGTTTAGGGCTAGTGCCAACTCTACTACCGTCAACCGCCTTGTTTACTAGGGCGGTTGCAATTCTTGTCGCAACCGCCTCGTTTTACCAGCCAGAGCCAGAGGGTGCTTGGTTTGGGGGAGAATGGAACTGAGTTTAGAAGCTTGTTTGACCGGGTTTAGCCGTGTTTTACTGTTTTTGCCCGGGCGCAAAGTAGCGTGACTTTGCCGTGACCCTGGCGTGATCCTGGCGTGACTCTTCTGTTATTTTAAAGAGGAAAGGGCTCGAACCGCCCGGTTTTGCCCGTGACTCTGGCGTGACTGCTGCGTGACTCTGGCATATTCTAGAAGCCAGCACCTGGGAACTGCTTCAAACACCATCAAAATTTGCAGATTTCGCGCCGTGGAAACTACGTCTCCACATCGTCCCTGTGTCGCAACCGCCCGGTTTACCATGAAGGTTGTGAACCGCCTCGTTTTCTGCGACTGTTGGACTTGCAGGTGGGAAACAAGGGGGAAACATGTTTCTTCATGGGTTTGGTAATCTTCTTTCCAAGCATCTTTATCCAAGCCCCGTCGATGAGCGTGCAATCCACGATGGGCTGGATACTTTCCCCCTCCTTGGTCGTGCAGGTCGTATCCGTGAAGGTCTCCAGGGTCACCGCCGGCAGGTCCACGCAGTCCAAGTACCTGTATCCCTGACTGCAGCTGTTGAACGGATAGAAATCCCCCCATTCAAGCGCGTTGCTGCAGTCGGAGTTTGATCCGGAGGAGTTGAACTTTTCATAGAGTACCCCGGTGGCGTTGCAGATGTATCTCTCGTTGTTTGCCGGGAGGCATTCACCGCTGGCATCGAGGTCGATATCATACATGGTACCGGTGCAGTCGTCTTGACGATATTTCTCCATCTTGGCGAACAGCACCGCTTCGCCGACAGCCACCAGCAGTCCAAAGCACCTGCGCAAGACTTGAGGATGAAATTGGGAGCTCGCAGGATTTCGCGGGATCTCGCGGGATCTCACGGGATCTTGCGGGTGCTGGGGGCAACTGCAGCCGAGGAACAGGGCTGATGCACGGGACATGGCGAGCGAGGAGGCGGAGTCCGACACAGTTCTTCACTTGCAATCTGGGCCGACTAAACAGCTGCGTGGGGCCAAGAGCCAAGACCGCACGGAAAGCCTCCGTACTCTGGACCTTTCAAGTGGCACCGATGGCTCGCGATGGCCCCTAGCAGCCATTCAGAAGTCACGGGAGCTTGCAGGAGCTTGCAGGAGCTTGCAGGCCGAGCGACTAGGGATCTCGTGGCAAAGGAGGCTTGGTGTGCATCGCCTGCATGGGCGCAGAATCCACTGGGTGCGTGTGTGTGTGTGTGTGTGTGTGGGTGCGTGCGTGCGTGCGTGCGTGCGTGCGTGCGTGCGTGCGTGCGTGCGTGCGTGCGTGCGTGCGTGCGTGCGTGCGTGCGTGCGTGCGTGCGTGCGTGCGTGCGTGCGTGCGTGCGTGCGTGCGTGCGTGCGTGCGTGCGTGCGTGCGTGCGTGCGTGCGTGCGTGCGTGCGTGCGTGCGTGCGTGCGTGCGTGCGTGCGTGCGTGCGTGCGTGCGTGCGTGCGTGCGTGCGTGCGTGCGTGCGTGCGTGCGTGCGTTGGTGTGTTTTAGGGTTTTAGGGTTTAGGGTTTAGGGTTTTTAGGGTTTAGGGTTAGGGTTTAGGGTTTAGGGTTTAGGGTTTAGGGTTTAGGGTTTAGGGTTTTTAGGGTTTAGGGTTTAGGGTTTAGGGTTTAGGGTTTAGGGTTTAGGGTTTAGGGTTTAGGGTTTAGGGTTTAGGGTTTAGGGTTTAGGGTTTAGGGTTTAGGGTTTAGGGTTTAGGGTTTAGGGTTTAGGGTTTAGGGTTTGTGTGTGTGTGTGTAACTCCGAGTGTCCATGCTATAAGAAACCGAGCGTCCATAAGAAACTGTACATGCTACAGACCGGGCCACAGGAACACCTCACTACACTCCCCCAAGTCAGTGCAGTCTTAGGATCGGACCCAGTCCCCGGAGCAAAACCCACAGGGTTTAGGATCTAGGGTTGAGGGTTCAGGGCTTAGGGCTTGGGGTTTAGGGGCTTGCGAACTCTTGTTGGGGAGTGAGGCGATTTCAGGGTCTACCGAGGTGGGCAATTGCCCGCAGCATCGCAGGCATGTTTCGTCGCGCCAGGTCGCGCAGCATCTCGATCCGATTCTCTGAAAATGAAAGGAAGCTCTTCGCCGCAGTGCTTTTGCAGTCGAATTTTAGAAGACTTGGAGCTCCCTGCCGCTAGGCCCAGGAACCAAACCAGCTTTGCAAACAAACCCCTTCTTGCCAAAACAAACTCGGCCATAAGGCTTAGGTCCCCTAAACCCCAAACCCCAAACCCCAAACCCTAAACCCTAAACCCTAAACCCTAGACCCTAAAAATGAAGCTGGAAGGCCTGGCAAGATCTGGCAAGGGCCACTCCTTTCCCTGCGCAGAGCCCTTTGGCTGCCCAGGAGTGCACATAAGATGATGGCCAGACTTCCTTCAAAGCAAGCCCACTACCACTAGCACGCTAGCGGTGAAACAAGAGAGGCCCAGAATGCCCGTGGCCGCGGAGGTCGTGGCCGCGGAGGTCGTGGCCGTTCCATTCGTCCCGGTCGTCGTGGTCGTCGTGGTGGTCGTGGTGGTCGACTGCCAGGGTCACGGCAGCATGCTGCTGCTGACTTTTGAAAGAATGAGATGCGCCATGCGCTTAGCAAGTCAGGCTAGCAGATATGGAGCTCGGTCCCAGGACATGTGTGCTTCACCCGAGAGAGAGCCCCTGCACCTAAAGTTTCATCGCACCATTGATGCGGCTACATAAACTAGGAGGGGCCTTCCCCATCATCTACTATTTGCTTAAGAACTCATCAAAAATATAAAAGAGAATCCCCATATTATCCTTATAAGGAAGAATATTTATTGAGGGGTTTTTGAGCAATTCGTAGTCATGAAGGGGGTAGGATGTCTAGGATCACATGCACCTGAGGGTAGGCTCGCATGCACCTGAAATGGAAGGGTCTGTACCATGCACCTTTCCTTAAGCCAACACTTGCCTGGGTCGTAGAAGTAGTCGGACACGCGTTGAGGTTCTTCGCGCTTACCCCCATGGCCGGCGTACAGATGCTCCCACAAGGAATGGTGGTGCTCATCAATGCGTCGCCCGTACAATCGCCTTGGTTTGCTCTTCCCTTTCAATTAATCAATTGTTGATGTCTTCTGATGAGATCCGGGATCGTCCGGCACCCCTCAATCGCAGCAGGAAGTTGCCATACATTGCGAGATTCTCACTGAACTATACTCTGCAAGGCCACTCAGCGCTTCAAGGCGCTTTCATGCGGCTTTGTGCCCCAAACAAACCCCTGAACCCTCAACCCTAAACCCTAAACCCTAAACCCTGAACCCCTAAACCCTCAACCCTCAACCCTAAACCCTAAACCCTCAACCCTAAACCCTAAACCCTCAACCCTAAACCCTGAACCCTGAACCCCTAAACCCTGAACCCTAAACCAGGAAACCAATGCAGGCCCGGCAGCTGGAGTTGTGCGCGGAGTACGTGAAGTTTCCGCCCTCGTACTCAGACCTTGGCCCGCTTCGCCCGGTGTTTAGGGTTTAGGGTTTAGGGTTTAGGGTTTAGGGTTTAGGGTTTAGGGTTTAGGGTTTAGAGTTTAGGGTTTAGGGTTTAGGGTTTAGGGTTTAGGGTTTAGGGTTTAGGGCTAGTGCCAACTCTACGACGAAACAAGGGGGAAACATGTTTCTTCATGGGTTTGGTAATCTTCTTTCCAAGCATCTTTATCCAAGCCCCGTCGATGAGCGTGCAATCCACGATGGGCTGGATACTTTCCCCCTCCTTGGTCGTGCAGGTCGTATCCGTGAAGGTCTCCAGGGTCACCGCCGGCAGGTCCACGCAGTCCAAGTACCTGTATCCCTGACTGCAGCTGTTGAACGGATAGAAATCCCCCCATTCAAGCGCGTTGCTGCAGTCGGAGTTTGATCCGGAGGAGTTGAACTTTTCATAGAGTACCCCGGTGGCGTTGCAGATGTATCTCTCGTTGTTTGCCGGGAGGCATTCACCGCTGGCATCGAGGTCGACATCGTACATGGTACCGGTGCAGTCGTCTTGACGATATTTCTCCATCTTGGCGAACAGCACCGCTTCGCCGACAGCCACCAGCAGTCCAAAGCACCTGCGCAAGACTTGAGGATGAAATTGGGAGCTCGCAGGATTTCGCGGGATCTCGCGGGATCTCACGGGATCTTGCGGGTGCTGGGGGCAACTGCAGCCGAGGAACAGGGCTGATGCACGGGACATGGCGAGCGAGGAGGCGGAGTCCGACACAGTTCTTCACTTGCAATCTGGGCCGACTAAACAGCTGCGTGGGGCCAAGAGCCAAGACCGCACGGAAAGCCTCCGTACTCTGGACCTTTCAAGTGGCACCGATGGCTCGTGATGGCCCCTAGCAGCCATTCAGAAGTCACGGGAGCTTGCAGGAGCTTGCAGGAGCTTGCAGGCCGAGCGACTAGGGATCTCGTGGCAAAGGAGGCTTGGTGTGCATCGCCTGCATGGGCGCAGAATCTACTGGGTGCGTGTGTGTGTGTGTGTGTGTGTGTGTGTGTGTGTGTGTGCGTGCGTGCGTGCGTGCGTGCGTGCGTGCGTGCGTGCCGTGCGTGCCGTGCGTGCCGTGCGTG